ATTCATACGCGATAGTATGGCAAAATTCCTAAAAACAAAAAAGTTTCTCGCTTACCGAAAAAAGTGCTGCAAAAAACTATCTGTCCAAGTTTCCTCCCAATATGCAGAAAAAACTATGTATTTCGAGGAAACCGAATTAGCACAGTTACGTTTGTCCACATTTTCTCCATCGATTTAAAAAAAAATTGTTCAATTATCTCAATTAGTTTCCGAGACATTACGAGTTATGTGTAAAAAAGTACGTAAATTTTCACAAATTTTACATATTTTTTGATTTAGAAATAATTGGTACCGTTAAAAAAGTTGAAAACAGCCATTTCGGATGTCTAATGACGTATCTAGTGATGTAATAAAGGTTATACCTCAGAAAAAAAAAATTCATGAAAGAAGCGACTTTTTCCTGCACTATATTCACTTGGTAACGGCGTGCTAAACGCAAACGTTAACGTTCGACGGTGAGTTTATAAATTGGGCTTAAAGAAATGATATATTGTCAAGTGTTTTACAACGCCTTAAATCCGACAAAAGAAGAGCTTTGAAGTGTATGTTAACATCGATGGCACTTTTATTTTGATAAATGTTCCATCCGGCAACATCGCACAATAAAATTGCCTAGGAATATGTCAAGTATAATCTAACATAACCTTAAACGACACTGCGATAAGTTCAAGTAATACGTAAAGTATTAGTTTGCTCTTTGTCGAATTACACGTTACAAAGAAAGAAGGAACGATTAATTCTGAACTCGTATTCTGAACTCGTCCCTGAATACGAATATGACGCAAGCCCGTAACAAACTCGATTTTAATTGGACGCTCACCTGCAACCCACGAGTTGCGCGCGCACACCAGGTATTACGAGACACGTCAATTACAAAATAAAAAGCGCATTCTTTTTCTTCGAGCCTTATGAATCCTTCATTGGATTTCCTATATAATAGATAAAGATAGGCTGCTTATCGGTGGATCAACCGGTGAAAAAAGTGTTGCGCCCAAAAAAATTAGGTGGGAGGGAGAAGACCAGCTGGGCAAAGCCAAAAGTAAACAAAACTTTATTTATGGGAGGGAAACAGAAATTCAACTTTATGAAACTGCTGAAGAGTACAAAGATTCAACAAAAATTAGAAAACGCAAGTTTCATTTGTTTTGGTTTCCAACGTATGAGGTTATGATTTCATATTATTGATGGCAAAACGTTACTGCGCCGGCGTATGACTAATATTTTCACGAAACTTTTGCTAAATTTTATTTGTCGTGTCAAACAGGTAACAAGCGAAACAAGAATAGTAAACTTACCAAATATTTCGGCAATAATTTCGTGAAGAAACTTTGCCGTGTAAAACGGCTCTTACACCTAACTTTTACCGGAATTTTTTGACAGCTACCGGTTTATTTAACCGGTCAATTTGTTGGTGAAATTTGGAAAGTGCCCGTTCCTGAAAATGGTTATGACAAACATGTCACCGAGGCATCGCACCGGCGGCGATTCTGCGATTGGAAAACCGTTCCGTATAAAAGCCTAGTGGCGTTGCCCGTTGCCAGTAGTCGTTTTTAGTCTTTAACGTCCAACTTTTGAAAGCAAAGTCATAACAGGATAAAATATCAATCCGTAACAATTTGGCAACCAAATTGGTGGAATGGAGGATAGCTCTCCTAGATGTTGGCGTAACAAAATTTTGGCGTAACAAAATTTTGTTTACTGTAGCTTTGTTCCAACCCAGCAGAAAACCGTAATTTATTAGCTGTGATATTAGGTCTGTTTCTGCAGAAATCACAAACCAGTCAGAGCAAATTTCATTGGTTGAAAATTAAAAACAGTCAGAAAACTAGTTTCAACCCAAGAATCGGTTTCAACCAATGAAATTCACCCCGACTGGTTTGTGATTTCTGCAGAAACAGACATAATAGCCAGGTGCATGATCATAATAACTTCTATATACAACATAGATGTGGGGCATCAGCAATAAGATCAGTATTCTTCAAGGGTATGAATGAGTTTAATCAGTTACCGGATGAAATTAAGACATGTGATACTCTTAGCAATTTTAAAAGAAAATTAAAAGTTCTGCTGACTCAATGTGATGTGATATATACCGTAGAATGGGGTGGATAGAAACAGTTTCGGACCTTTTCAACCCTGTCCCTAGAAGGGTAGTAATTTTTTCGACAATGAAAAATATGGGGTTTACCAGTCACGACTAGTAGATCAAAGGGCACATAGCGCAATTTGAAAAAAAAAAAAATAGATTTTTCTCAAAAAAATAAAAAGTACCATTTTTCTATTCGCACTTAATGTGGGGTGAATAAAAACATCCGTCTGTTACAGAGAAATTTGCTATCCCACCCACTCGGATGAGGTGAAAAGAAACACTTAAAATGTTTTTAAACATTTACAGAAACATATATCAATCAAAAAAAACGCCAAAGAAACACAAATTTTACGAAAAAAAAGCATTTATTTCTGTAAAAACGTGACAAACTCAAATACAAAGGTATCTAATATTTAATTGAGATAATTTTGATGTACATTAAATCGTAAAATATCTCTTTTCGACGTAGATGGTCCAATCAGGTCCATCATCTTGAACTGGAGTAACTTTTCCAACAACCTGCTTCAAATTAAAGGTGGAAATAATATCGGGAACTTCTGGAAATCCATAGATGTATCCTGAAAGCTGCTTGGTGGGACGACTTCTTAAGAAAGTGGCTTCAATGTCATTTTCTTCAATATTAGTGACTTGTCCGATAAAGAATTTATTTTTTTGTAAATTCCTATATTTTGTTGGGAAACACACCAAAAGCCAAATTCCTTCTTCTATTGAATCAAGCGAAACAGGAGAAACATGCTCAAACAATTTACCCTCAAACCAGACTGATGTTGAAACATTATTTTTGTCTGACTTGTCAGCGAAATGAGATAGTGGAATATCAATTTCCTCGACTTCATCTGAATCTTCTGAAGGATATTCTTGCGCTTTTTCCATCATTTGCTTATAATGACTAAGGGGCAAATTCATTTCCGGGTCTGAGTCTTCATCCGAAATTTCCATGTGACTTCCAGAATCACTATTTTCCGCTTGATTTTCTTTATCTGACATTTCTGTTTCAGATGAGCTTTCAAAATCTGCGCCTTTAACACTTTTGCTAGCAGGAACTTGAATTTTACGGCGACGCCTCCTTTCATTTTGACCATCGCCATATCTCATTGTTCTTAGAAGATTGACAAAAGAGTTATTAAATCCTTCCTCAACATTCTCATCATTTACCTCAGCAGGATTTTGCTGCGGAAGACGTTCCAAGACTCTATTCCTATTCAGTGGAACGATTCCACACTTATTAAAACCAGATTCTATATTTTTTGCAGCGTTAGGTTCAATAGCCTTTAGCAGTTCATTCAGCAAATGGGGAAATCTATCCTTTGGAACCGTGCAATGCTTTGAACCAGCCCCCATTTTCCATTTTTCAAGAATGTGTCTCCAGGCTGTTTTAAGTGGTCGGAAAAATGCCACGTCAAGGGGCTGGGTCAAATGAGTAGAGTTAGCTGGGAGGAAGATAAATGAAATATTATTTTTTTCGCAAATAGCCACTGTACTTGCAGAAAAATGGGAACTGAGATTGTCGCCAATTAAGTACTTTTTTCCTGGTAGATCTTTTAGGGCTGGTATTACTATTCTCAGCACCCAATCTGAGAAGGATATCGCGTCAAACCAACCAGACGAACTTCTATTATATCGGACACCTTTTGGGCCTCCACATATCCAAGATGAATAGAGATTTTTTGCCCTGTATACCACGTATGGTGGTAAGATATTTTCCATCAGCTGAAGCAGCGTACATCAGAGAAACAGCTGATTTTGATGTATTACAAATGCGTTCTGGATAACGACATCCTCTTTTCGATATCACTCTTTTTCTACCCGGATCATCGGTTAGGTTGGTTTCATCATAATTTATTATGTTTGATGGAGGGACATCTTTTAACTTTCGCTAAATTATCAAAATAAGCGTTGATAGTAGCCGGAGAAACAGCGGCTCTTGAGCGCTTTATGTTCTGGCAAATTCTTGTTCCTAATTGGTCTTTGTGACGTTTCAAAAAAGAATAGACAAAGTCCCTACCAGGAAGATTATCTTCAAATTTCGGTATTGTTTTACCTCTACCGTCTAGATAATGTTTTACAATCATCCTGACGTCCAAATGGTCAAGTGGGTAGCCCCAATCAGAACAAACTATTAATTGGTGGATTAATACATTTTCCTCTTGTTTGGTTAGAGCTATTTGATCTCCTTGACGCTTTAGATTTGGTACGTATGAATTTTGTACGTTTCGCTCGCCAGCCTATAACTCATACCCTGATCAATTGAGGCAAGAGCTCTTTTCATGGTATTTTCATCAATTTTCTTATAGGTTTTACCTCGAGGATCTGGATGGTAAACGCGAGGCATTTTTCTGCAAAAAAAAAAATAATTGCAAACAAATATGGGGTGAAAAGAAACCGGGGGGTGAATAGAAACAGGGTGTTTCTATTCGACCCAAAAATAATTTGGAAGTGAGGTTAGGCATCATATTTGGAAAAAGTGGAAAACTCGCTGGAAAAGCAAGCAACATAGGAAATTTCTGAAAACGGAAATCTCAATCAGACACCTGAAGGCTAGTTTGACGAAAAATTTATTGTCTTACCTGTTTTGATCTAGTCACGGCAAATAAAGTTTTGCTTGGGATCAAAAATGCTTATACTGGCCGAGTTCGTTTTTGTCATCTTTTTCGTCGATTTGCTCCGAAATTTTGGCAGGCACGTGATTTGTAAATTGAAACTGTCTTATCCAGTCACGTGCCTGTCAAAATTTCGGAGCAAATTGACGAAAAAGATGACTAAAACGAACTCGGCCTCTATCACTCCCACAGGTGTTTAGAACAACAAGCAAGGTTGCCAAATGATGTTCCACTTGGACTGTCAGAGCAGTTTAACTGACATCTTTTGGCTATTTGAGCACAATTTGGACGCGGTTGGGTGGCTTTGTTATGCAGTAGGGAATTTTTCAAATAGATTCCTGGTTTCGTTTCTTTTCACCCAGAAGTTGCTATCCACCCCATTTTACGGTATTTCCCAGAGTGAGGCACGAATAAGTAACATTATTTTTATTGTTTTTGTTGATTTGAAATTTTTTTGTTTTGTGGTCTTTTGATCTTGTATTTTGTGAAGGGAAAAAGGAATATATAGGTTACCATATTTTAGGAGTTTCATAGGCTTAACATTTTACAGATTTTTAAAATTTTATTATTACCTTCAGAATGTTCTTTAAAATGTTAAATTTTAAATTCATTTCATTCATTTAAAGTCATTTATGTTGATTCGGTTTATCTCCTTTGTTTTTAATTTTCTTATTTTTAGATCGTTTGTTGTTTTTTGAATTGTTAGTATTTTAATTAACACTACAGCCTCATTATAACTTTTGTGATGTTATATATTATGTAAGTTGCACGATTAGTTATTGCTAAATAAACGAAATAAATAAATAATAAATATGGTTACGTTATTTTTGGTTCGCAATATTTTTTGTCGGAGTCCGATCGTATCATGATTTTCTTTCGGCCATACTCTACTATCTGGGGTTTGATAATGATCCAACGCATCTTAAATAATATCTCAATGCCAGGGACTATGTATGAGGATGGTGTGGTTTGCCTCAAAATTCAACCATCCTTGGGCCCCTATTAGTCTCTCTCTATAGTCTCAAGTCTCTATACATCGCAGCTCATCACATATTTGGGTCTTTTTTTATTCTGACAATACAAAGTTACATTTCTCATTCAAAACAGCTTCAGAAACGAGTTGCTTAACTATTCTGCCTTCTTGTTAACACCTGGGAAAGGAATATCAAACAAAAAGCATCATAATAATTGAAAATTTAAATATTAAGCAAAGTAAAAAATAAATAGACAATAATTCTATCCTAGCCTAATACTAAATAAATGAAAAAAAATATATTGATAATATAATATCTATTATATTTCACAAATATTTGTGAACCAATAATAGATTAGTAGCAGAAAATTATTCTCGCTGACATTACTTAGGGCTTTCTCTCTACTATTCTTCTGCCACTGGTCAACTAAATATCGGTCTAAATAGTCCATATCCCCCATATGCCCAGAAACACTAGATCTTGTCATTAATTCAGATGTATGTTTTCTAACAAAGTCGTTAAAAAATTGTAGTTCTGAATGAAAAGTTTTGTTGAACTGTCGCACTTGGTCCGGTTCTAGATTTTTTTTAGTTAAGAAAACTTGCTGAGCTATAAATAACATGAGCGTGCCTGAAGTTTTTTCTACATTGTTGGAATTGAGATTTTTTATCCAAGGATCCGTTAGACCTAGAAAACAACAAACATTAGAACAATAAAGTGCTGCTATTTATAAATTTAGATAATGTACCTGAATATTCATAAATATAACTCAAAAATGACCCTAACTTTTGATTCGACATATATACACTTGTGTCCTGGTACTCCACAACGCCAGTAACAGAAGCAAATTTCTTAACGTCGGCTTCTGAACTTGTTCGTTTTTTCTGTTGGTGCATGGTTTTGAAAAGAAAATGGGCCAAACAGAAAAGCTTTCCGTAAGTTAGATCAGAGGAAATTGGCAGCTCAAATTTTGGTACACTGAAGTCGCATTCGATTAATATTTTCATGAACAGCGGTTGGAAGTCATCGAATAGATCGAGTAACTTGGAGTTGAGATGATAGAGACAGTATAATCCTAGGCCGAGGATACCTATCAACCTGAAAATAATAAAAAGAGTGAGCATGATAGAATAAAAACATTGATAATACAATTTGGAAGGCAGCAAATTTTTGTGGAATTTAGATTGAAAGTTCTTGTTTTCAAAATAAACTGGTATTTTCAATGAACAAGCTTAAATGCTCAGTATGTAACATTCTTTCCTGTGTTGCAGCCCCATTGACTTTCTGGAACAGAACACTGCGCTTTAATTGCAGGAGTAGATTATACTGGAATCTAAAGATGTATCTCCACATCAGAATGACCAATACATCAGCAGCTTGAAGGTATCAAACTAAATAAAGGGTGCACCAATCTGGTTTTCGCTCTTGTCCGAGCGTTTTTCTTTTTGTCAGAGAGTTTTTGTATTTAGAATTTTTCGCTCCACTTGTAACGTACTTATTTTGGCAATTGCCTAATTATACTGCATACGGCTAGTCAGCTTCAGTTCGGAGGCCATGGGTCTCTGGGTTCCTTGTATACATCTTACCTTTGGGCGCCACCAAGTTAATTGTGACTTAACTAGGAAGATAACTTAATGATGTTATAAACAAAACCTGTGCAATTGGAGAGCTTATCAATAAAACAACTAATTAGGTACAATAATGTATCTGGCTTCTTTATTAAAAAATAATAACAATAATGAATAGGGATAGCCAGGACGTTGTTAAAAATGTGTATACATTATGACTTGTACCAATTTATAAATATTTGATTATCAAAAGAATGAATGTAAATAATGCATATATAAATATGAATTTTAAGTAAACATGAGTAAAAACCTTTTGGTATTTACACTTGTGGAAGATTGAAAAAACAGTATGGGTTACACTTTACCAACAGGCAAATTAAACACAGAAAGATGAAAGTTATTGTTAGGGCAACCTTAGGGTAAAATACTAGAATTTTATTTAAGGGGCACTTACCGAACCTAATTCAGTATCCAGTGATTTACATAGGATTTGCCTATATAGTAAAAGGTGTAACTTACGTGTGATACAAGTGTTTGTTATCTTCACATGTATGTGTAAGTCCAGAAGTTCCAAGAGTGAGGTTAGCTACATGTTTGGTCTCACTGTAGATAGACAATGGTATGATAAGTGAGTCATGAGTCCTATCCACGTGGTATCTGTTTTACGTAGAACTCAATGTGGTTCTAGCAGAGCGGTACCAAGAGAGTTGCTGGAGAAAGGCTACGAAAGCCAACTAAGAGCAATCTAGGTCTAGTCTAGAATCTCTTTCTAGGAGCTGTCCAACTATAGCCTAAGACTGTCTAGCTACAGCCTAGAACTAGGACGGAGTAGGATTGTCCAACTATAGCCTGAGAGTAGGACCCTCAAATTGAGGGATACTCTAGACCAAAGGTGAAGTCTTAAACTTCCAAATGCTGCTCGGAACAGTCCGAAACAGAATCCAAAAATGACCAAGGGACGACTCTAGACAATTATCAGCAAGAAATTAGTCTAAAACTTGAGCTCCCTGGCACAAAATTCCAAAAAGTCTCGCCCCAAAAATAATTAGGGCCGAGGCCCGAGACCGGACGACTACTCAGCGTGAGGTCGCAGATCAAAAGGGGAGATCCTTCATTTCGAATTTAGATTTCGGAAGAAGACTTTCATCTGTCAAACTTCTAATTTTGACATTGAAGAAAATTATAGAAAAGGACGTGTTCAGTTTCACCCCAAAAGTACGAACTGAGAATCGGTTGTGTAAAAAATGACTGGTGAATGTTGAAAAGTGCCTATAGAACAGACAAAACAAAAGGTAGAACAGGTCTAAAGAAAACGCCTAGACAAAACAGCTGTTCAATGACATGATGGAAATGAAAAGTCAAAGAGTAAACAACAATTATTATCATAACCTCAGATTATTGATTGGATTTGCAAACAGATATGATGATGGTACTAACTCCTTTTCCTAAGATTCTAATCAATAACAGCGGGCCCTGCCGTACTGAATCAAACCTTCCTAGAACAGTCAACAAAACTTGCAAACCTGCACAAAAAAACTTTCAGTAGAAGGCAGTAATCAAGGTAACAAAATCTGGGCACAGAAAAGACAGTTGTTTATTCATTCATTTCATTGTAGTTCTATATAGAATCATATCTACTAGAGCAAAACACAGTAGCATATCAAACAAGAAATTGAAAATGCTACAATGGTAGTTTGAGTCCCAGATACTTCGTCGACATTGTTATTTGTGAATGTCCAATTAGTCTAACAACCATATTGTCATTATAAATACAGATTGGCTGGAGAGTTTCCTAGTCCTAGGTACTCTTTGACTTTCTCCAGAAAGAGGCCACTCTTCATCTACTCTACTCATCAATTTTGGTTTCCCAATATTCATGTTTAGGCCCATTTCTTTTCATGCTTTTATGAACTAACTAGTCATCAACTATTGAAAATGAGTATGTTGTCGTTTGCGAACCGTAGATGCGTTTAAAAAACTAATGTATTCATGTCGTGTCTTATAGTTTCTTGAATACATCCTTTATCGGCGTGAAAACTTTTGGTAATATCACCTATCACAGCATCAATGTACATACAAAAAAAATTAGATAACATTGAATTAAAGGGGGTGTAACACAAATATGGAAGTTTTAGTCATCGGTTTTAGTTTTCAAAATATGCTCACTTTTAAACACCGATATCTCAAAAACCAATCGTCTGATTTAAGATTTTGCTATATGACTGTAAAGGGATAGCAACGAGCTATCGAACGATGTGCATCAAAAGGTAGCTACTCCCCAAGGGGTGAGGCGGGGTGACTCAAAAAGTGTCTCATTTTGGTTCCCCCTCCAATCTGCGATACGTATTTGAGATATTCCTGATAGAATTTTTTGTCTAAGAGATATTCCCGATTGCTCGTTTTCAAATTGTCACCCTGTATACTTCATGCCTAGTATTTTCGCTTTTTTATAATTAAACGTGACATCGTACATTAAGGTCCGAATTCCTTCCGTAGACTCAGAACTGCTGGGTAAACAATACATATGATCAAGCAATACCAAATAAAACAAATGTAAGTAGGTACCAGGGTTAATTATAAAACCTGAACAGAGGCCAAATGTAGAAAAAACCAGAACTGACTTGTGCAAGAATATAAATCCTGAGTAACTGAAGATTGGGGTCAAAAATGTGAGAGAGGTCAGAAATGTGGAAAAAGAGAAGAAATAGAAAAACTAAAACGAGAAGCTGAAAAAAAACTAAGTCCAGATTATGAGGTGCAGGTCACAACACTGAAAACTCCGCGGATAAAAATTGTGGGATCTACCAAAGATAAAGACCTCACCAAAAATCAAATTGAAGAGGATTTAAGGGAGCAGAACTAGTTCATAGAAAAGCAATATCTTAAGATAACCTATATAAAAACTCATCCAAATAAACCAACAAGAACAATATAATATTGTAGGTTTTTATTCGATATCTAGAGATATAGGGCTTCAATGAAAGTCAAATAGTGAATAAACACAGTTTAATAATATAAAAAGAGAATGAATTGATGAAAAAAATGTTTGACAGGCACTAAAAATACTTATCAATCGGTTATTGGGTTCACCAGCTACGTCACAAAAGTTAAATCGGGTATCTCGTCTTCGTCTTACTGAAAATACTACACAAACAGCCCGTCTAACTGTAATTGCGCACTTTAACTATCTTATTTCTACTCTCGACCGCGTCTCGATCATTTAAGACTGAAGTTTAACAATAAACAACCCCGTCTGGGTGTATTTTAATCGCAAAAAGACAAATCGTCGTTTCGTCTCTTGAGCTCGCCTTGCTCCGTCGTCAAGCGACTACTTTCTACACGACCCTTGAGAAAAAGACCCGTTTCCCCTTCCCCTAGATCGATCAATAATTCCTACGCCGTGACAGCTGTGCCTTGCAGAGCCATCCCTTATCGGTACGGTGAACAACGTGCGGAACGATTTCTTTAAATAAATAATGGAATAACTAAAATAAAGATTTTAAGAAAAAACTATCCTACACTCGGCCATACCTGTCTAGCAATCCGACTCGGATTCGCTAAAACCTCCTATCCACGGCTTCATATATTCAGCGCACGTTGATGTATTTATTGGTCCTTCATGATATCCAACTTTAGTAACATCATACCTTTCATTAGCTTTAGCTTTCAAAATTTCATACGGTCCAAGATACTTTTTAGACAACTTCAAACCAGGTCCGAACTGCGTCCTCTTTATAGCCACTAGATCCCCTTCTTTATACTTCTTTCCTGGTCTTCGTCTAAGATTATATTGTTTTCGATTTTCCTCTTGTATTTTCTGAATCTGACACTTACTCTGTTTTCTTAGCTCCTCTCTTTTCTCATTATAAGAATCTATAACTTCCTTCTCTAAAAGCTCTTTAATAAGTACATCTTCTTTATTCCTCATCTTCACTCCTTTTAGCACCTCGAACGGGGTAGCATCAATACTTCTTTGTATTGTGCAGTTTAACGCTCTTTGCACAGCATCAAGATGTTTGTACCATTTTTGTGGATCATCCAAGCTTAACTTTGGTCAAAACTGGAATTATTATTCTATTGATCCTTTCCACTTGGCCGTTACCCCTGGGAACACCTGTCGTGATCGTCACATGCTGGATTCCTTCCTGCTGGCAGTAATCCGTGAATTCCTGAGCTGTAAAAGCGGTTCCTTTGTCGGTTATTATCCTTGCCGGGGCTCCAAAAGTTTTTTGCTGTAATCTCAACTTATCAACGGTCTCTTTAGCTGTAGTTGATTTGGTTGCATATAACCATACAAATTTAGAATCACCGATGACAGCTAAAATGTGTTTATAATTTTTATTTGTAGATGGCAATGGGCCCAAATGATCGGCATGATAAGTGTTCAGTAGAACGTCGCTTTTATTTATCGGATGTAACATCCCTTCTTTTTTGCCTTCCTTCTTACTTCCTAAGATGCAGGCCACACAGTTCGTTATACAACTCATAATCCTATCTTTCAGTTTTGGTATGTAAAATTCTCGTTTTACT